AGCGCACTTAATCAGTAAAATCAACTATTTCTTTAGAACTATTGTTATATATGATATAGAACTCTAGAACTATTGCAAAACAAATCGGAACTCTAAAGAAATAGTTGATTTTACTGATTAGGTGCGCTGCGTGAACTTAGCGCACCTTTTTTTGAAAGTCTATTTTTTTGTATTTAATGACCGGAACTATTTAAAATTGTGGCATAGAGCTCTAGAACTTTTCAATGCAAGCAAATTGAATTTTTGTCTTCATTTAATATTCTTGTTTAAAAAACTTACTAGATCTCAAAATACATTCTAAATCCTAATTGGTTCAGTTTTTTAATGAAAAATGTTAAATTAAAACCAAAATTTCATCTGTTTACTACACAGAGTCGAACCACTTTTTTCTTTGATTACTGTTATGTTAGATTTGCGAAACTCATAAGATACTTGAAGTTACATGAATGTATTTTTCTGTGTGTAATGCCCAACACACACTATAGCTTACTCATTGTCCACGTTCAGAGAAAAATACACAGTTGATGGTGACTAATCAAATGACAACCGTACGCGTTTTGTATGTAGGGTCAACGTATATGGTGTAATGAATCATTTTGCAGTTGTTGCAACTAAAACTGAATGATCACGAGAATTATATATAATTTTCCAATTCTCTCCAGATAGTTCTCATAATCGTTCAGTGTTCGTTGCAATTACTGTAAAATAGTTTATTAAACCGTACACATTGATTCTACATACAGAAGAAACTCATACAGTCGTCGTCACTTATACAGGGTGTCCCAGACTCTCCTCCGCAATTGTAGGAATATAGAATAAATTGAGGTGAACGTAAAAGTCTCATACCGTTTTGCGATATTCGCAAATCTCGAGATATTAATTAAAAAAGATTGGTGAATGATATGGTAGATAAGCTGTAGTGGCGCCGTCTGTCGTTATATATTTATACATTAAGTCAAACTGAACAAAAAGGTCATTTACTATATTGCAAATGACCACATAGATTTTTAGAAGATTCGTGCATTATCGCGCATAATTCTGTAACAATTTTCTTTCTTCTGATAACCAAAAATCTACGTGATTATTTTCAGAAAGGACTTTTCTGTTCAATTTGACTTAATATACTATAAGTACACAACAGCGCACACAACAGCGCACATTACAGCTCATCTATCATATCAGCACGCATCGCCATTACAGCTCATCTATCATATTAATATCTCGACTATTATTGCGAATGTTGCAAAGCGGTATAAGACTTTTATGTCCACTTCAATCTGCTCTATCTGTTACGTTCAATCTGTTTCAATCTGTTACGTTCCCACAAAAATTATGGAGGAGAGTCTGAGACACCCTGTATAGTTCGCCGCCACCATGTATTTTCCTCTGGATGTACACAGACCGACATCTCAAGCACAGTTTACATTGTCTACGCGTGGAGAGAGACACGGTGGAGTATCATAATTTTCGCGTAAACGACCAGCAAAACCCAATTGCAATTGTCGAGTCCGTCCATCCCGGTCGTACGTTCCAACGGCCACGGCGAATTATCGGCTACGGATGCGCTTTTAAGGTGACGCTAAGCCAAATCAAAATCTCTATGTTGCCCGGCTCCAAAATATCGGTTTTGCGGTCATGGCTTATCAACCACGAGACCGCATGTCACAACCGGAAGCCACCGGTGACTTCGTGAGCTGCGGTCGATGTCGGTATGCATTGGACCTTGACGTATGTAAAGCCGCATTCGACCTATTTTCGATTTAAACGATGGGGCCTCATTTGTTAGGGCGTTTAAATCGCCGTCTGCCCGGCCGTGTGATCGACCGTCAGGGTCGTGTTTGCGTGTGTGTATATGTGTTTTTCGGGAAATACGTTTATAATAGATACGCGCTCCGCGGCTCTGAACAAGAAGCAAAACCTGAACGAAATGACATTTTAAGCGCGGTTCGACGGGGGACGGATTCTCGTCCGTCGCTTAAATTTTATTTCATTTTTCAACACGAAACTCTGTCCTCTCTCTCTCTCTCTCTCTCTCTCTCTCTCTCTCTCTCTCTCTCTCTGTTTGCGCGTGTCTCTTCCTCTCTATAACTAAGTCGCGAGTTAAAATTCTATTAAAGCAAGCCCATCGAGTCTAATCTCGGATAATCCCAGCAGCGGGATCTTCGATCCGGTTTATAATTCAAAAGTTACCAGAGTTACACGACGAGTAAACGCGACGTTTTAATCGCACGGATCGTTTTCTCACCGGTAGCGCGCGCGCGGCAAACACGGAGCGTTTCGCACGTGAGCGCACGTGAGCGCGCCGTTGTTTTAGATCAACATTTATGTCTCTCCTCCGACGACTGTCGCCAACCGTGATTTACTTGTGTTACGCACACCGTCACACAGAAACGGCAAACACGTCACGAACCAATTTTGCGCGTCGACGCCTGACGGCTGCTGCTGCGCCACACGCTTACGAGATCTGCCTATGTAAACACGTACGCCGAATACTTCGCCGGTGTAACCACCCATTGTTCAACTAACCAAGTGACGTTAAGCCGTTACGCAGAAAGTCGCCCCATTGGTCGCGCCGTGTATCGTAAAAAAGAAGAAAAACATCGAGTGAAACAATCGCACTTGTGTACTTATTCGTCGGGGACGTATAAAAACTCTCCTCTCTTTTTTTTCTTTTTTTTTTTATTATTTTTGGGAAGCGAATCTAGCCGAGTTTCCGAAAACGATCGCGTTCCTCCCGCACTCCCGGCTTACTATCACGGGTTCGTCTGATTCCGCCAATTAGCAATAATCGAGGATTACCTCGACGATTTGAGACTCTTGGCTAACGACCACTTTGATCGATGACGCCAGAAGCGAGAAAATACACGCTCAAACTTCTGGATTCGAGATAAATTAATTGAAATAAAATGATGTATTTGCAAAATAATAACACTTGCAAGCAGATCCAAAAACAGTCCGAACACTTTTCTCTTACTTTCTTTTCTCTCGCTTTGATAATCAAGAAATTACTGTAAAATTAATATGATACATAATCTACTTTTTTAACCCCAGAACACTAAAAATCATTTTAACTAGCGCATTTTTGTTTATAATTTCCATAAAAATAGTAAAAATTCTATTTCTTTTTTTTATCAGTGTAAAAACATCAAGAAATTTATTAATATTTTTGCGACTTAATGAAGTTGACAAAAGTCATAATGAGAAAATAAGACACATGTTTTTAAGAACGGTAAAGCTCGATAAAGAAGATTTTTCTAAAACTAAAAGGAAAATATTCTAAGCACACAATGTTCTTGAAGTTAAAGGAATTTCATCTTTTATTTACAGTACAAATCTTGTTCTTACTGGAAAAGTCTTCTAATAAGGAAGCACCCTACTTCAAGTAAATGTATTTTTTTCTTGATACAAAAGAAAAAAAAAAATATCTTGTAGATCTCTGATTAATAGCCCACTTCAATAGAAGAGGATAAGATAGAAGGATAAGATAGGATAAGATAGAAGAGAATAAGAAAGAGGAAAAAGAAGAAGAAAAAAAAATTTTGCAACAAGAGTTTTTTTTCGGTGTTAGAACATTTTTCTGCGGATATCTGCAGGATATTCATTAAGAATAAAATTATACTTTTTTGAATGTAGTAATATCATGTTGCTAGTGATAGAATAAACTATCAATAAAGCCTATCTTGCTAAGGAATATAATAATTTTTACTATAAATGCAGCAAATTTATTTAAATCAAATATTGTTTATATATATAATATTGTTTATATAATAAATATTGTTTATATATTGTTATTCTCTTTATTTAAATCAAATATTGTTTACCTGATTTAAATAAACAATATTTGATTTAAATAAAGAGAATGTAGATTTAAGTAAATATGTTAATGGCGACCATAAAAGAAATATTTGTTGATTTTAATATAATTTTTTTCTCAGTGTAGCAAAATTTGCTGTATTTATAGTGAAAATTACTATGTTCCTTAGCAAGATAGGCTTTATTGACAGTTTATTCTATTACTAGGAACATGATATTACTTATTTTTAGTGAATATCCTGCGAATATCCGCAGAAAAATGTTCTAACACCGAAGAAAAACTCTTGTTGCAAAATTCTTTTTCTTCTTCTTTTTCCTCTCTATTCTCTTTTATCTTATCCTCTTCTATTGAAGTGAACTATTAATCAGAAATCTACAAAATATTATTTTTTTTTCATTAAGAACAAGATTGCTATAATATTAGTGATGATAATCTTATATGCTTATTGTCATTACTATTTTTTTTGTTAAAACAATCGGAAAGTATAATTGACGTCGAGAATAACTATAATTTTAGTGGCAATCATTTTTTTCTCAGTGTAAAATGCAGCAGATTTTTTAGTAACACATTCGACAATTCCTAAAATATAAATAGCACATATGAAAAATGAAAGAATGACCAATTATTACATAATGTCAATCTATTCCTCGATGACAAAATTCTAAAGTAACTTCTTTCTAAAACTATCCCCGAGCATAATTTTATTACGTTAATTTTACGGTTATTCGTCGATTGTCTGCACGATCGCGATTGCAAGTGTCACTTTGTAATGTGTCATTTTATTTTGCAGGGATTTTGGACGGCTACATTCTTCAAACGTCACAAATCAAGACTGTCAAGAATGTTTAACGACCAACTAGATCTCGAGCGCTTCTTCAACGATCTCCACTATTTCTATCTCCGGACATGGCACGTCATCGCTTTGACATTCATCTCATCACGCCGACGATTCTTCAGCAACACTTCGACGCAACGTATTCCCTGCTAAACGTGAATATTCCGGACGGGACACCGGCGAAGAGAGAAAAAATGCTAACGCGTTTTGAAATCGCTGCCTCCGCAAGTTCTGTGCTTGCGGCCTGCACAAGTAGTCTGAACAGTCGCGAGGAGCAGCGGCGGCGGCGGCGGCAGCAACTTCGTCCAATTAACTCGACGTACATTTTACAAGGAAAGGAAAGCGTTAAGGCGTGCCGGGGAGAAACAATGAGGAAAAGAGAAGTGGGAACGTCGAGAGTCGTGGAGCTTTCGCCGGCGCCAGCCCCGAAGAGGGATAAAGCAACGCGACAAGGAATCGTTACTTAACGAGACATTTAGCAACTAACCATTGCACGCGTTACAGCTGCTTTATAATTAACCGTGTAACCTAATAATATCGCGTTCACCTCATCAATCGCGTGCACAAAGCCCGACAGTTGACTCGAGTCTCGAGTCGAAATTTTGCTTCGCATTAATCTTGCAAATTCCATCAAACTTGAAAGACCAACGGGTCAGAATAAATATCGAAGCGTAACGCTATGAAATAATTAACTCCTACTGTACCCGAGTCGAAATTTTAGCCCTATATTAAACCCTGAATTCTACAACGCAGTAGGAACTAAGTTAGCAAAGTAAGTTTAATTCTAATGATACAACTTAGTTCTACTTTGACTCTGATGATGTCCGAAAGTTACCTTTTTTACTTTTTTTACTATCAAAATAGATTGTATTTATACGTTTCAGAATATCAAAATAGGTGTTTAATGAAATAATGAGGCTAAAAGTAGAATCAAAATTTCGACTCACCTCGGATAAGTCAAAAAGAATAAAAAAAAGGTTAAAGTGGGTTTTAGAGTATCAAAATAGATGTTGAATGAGACAGGAAGACTGAAAGTAATATCAAAATTTCGACTCGGATAATACTATGAATATTCCCTTACTGTTGACTCCTTCATATCAAAGTTTAAAGAGGGATTTATTCAAGAATAATGTAATATTCAATTATCTCTGCGTTTGATAAATTTAATAAGAAATATATAAATTATGTAATTTCCTTAACTGTTATGCAAATAGAATATGCAAGCGGATATTAAGTAGATAAATACTAATATATAATTGGAGGCAAATATATTAATTGGATTAATAGGTTAATAAAAATAAAAATAAAATAAGGATAAAACAAAAATATAAAAATAAAACTATCCGTATTTGTAATATTAATACTGTGTTTTTTATATTATTAACGTTGGGGATTTCTGTGAGATTTGGAAGTTTAAAAAGATAATGGAAAAGAAATTATAAAAACAACAACAAGAGTTATGTCTAACAGTTCTGTGCACTAATGTACTAAGAGAAAAATACTTATGAAATAGTAAATATTCGATAGATGCTAATAACACATATTCATTTATGTTAATATATAAAATATTTCTCAATTAAGAAAATATACATTTTCTTAAAACCTTCTTGAGAAAAAAAGTGATTAAATTAATGAAACTTTGCTTGGACAAACAAAATTCTTTCAAACAAATATTTAGTCGATTGAATGAATTATAAAATATAAATTATCGTTGTTACGGTGCGTTCTATCAACTAATTCAATGATTTAAGCCAGTAACTATATTAATGTAACTTATTGTTGCACTAACATGTAATTTGTTCAATAGACACAATATATCTTTGAAAACGAGTGACTGCCGATTTTGTCGATTTAACTGTTTTTTTCCCAAAATAAGAAAACTTTAGCTTTTCATGAAAGCAATTATTTATTCTGTGTGAATAAAAGAATTTTGATTTAAGCAAATATGCTATTAGTATTCACCGAATAAATATTTACTATTTTTTAGATATTTTTTTCTTTCAATGTAGAGGCTAATATGTAGTAAGAGAACAAAGATAAATAGAAGTAAAAAACAAACGTGACAGATTTAAAAATGAAATTCTGTTTGATTCAACGATTCAACTATTTTTTCCCAATATAAGAAAACCTTAGCTTTTCATGAAAGCAATTGTTTATTCTGTGTGAATAAAAGAATTTAGACTTAAGTAAATATGCTATTAGTATTCACCGAATAAATATTTATTATTTTTTAGATATTTTTTCTTTCAATATAGAGACTAATGTGTAGTAAGAAAACAAAGATAAATAAAAGTGAAAAGCAAGCGTGACGGATTTAAAAATGAAATATCTTGTGAAAAATATTATTTTAACGCACAAAACACTTATAAGATTTGCATAAAACCAATATTTACATTTGCAAATAATTAATCTTTAATTGAGAGCATAATTATTTACAGATTCGCATTGATTTACTATTATTCGGCTGTTTGAATCAATGTTCCTCGTTGTATAAAATAAGTACAGATTGACGAACGGTCAGAGAGATTTACGAAATTAATTATTTGTCAAACAATAACGAACTATGAAATAACAATCTAAATTTCAACTCGGATATCTCTTTTTCTCTCTCCCTCTCTATTCGCAGTAATCTCGTCAAACATCCATTAAAATCGGAAACCTCTTGCATAATAAATTATTTCACATACCTGGAAACATGATATATCGCTGTCCACGTTCTCGGGGTTCCGCGTCCTCCGTCCCGGCTTCCCAATTCAGCATCTTGGCTCCCAGCTGCTCCATCGTGCGGCACTCCGGATATTCGCTTCTGGCACCTGGTAACATTGACACTCGAATAGATACGATTCGATCTGAGATTGGATCAAGTTAGGTTAGGATTAACGCGCGATAACTCACGCGACTCCGACGAGTGGCCGCCCGATTAAACATCTCGAGAATTGGCGAAATATTTTAATATTACCCCCGGCGCAAATTATAACTCGCCTACCTGCAAAATGCCACGTCCTGGTGATCGCTCGTCCACTCAACGCAATGAATCGATCGCGGAGAGGTCCGCGACGTACAAGCGACGCTCTGATAATGGGCGAGTTTTTTAATTCATCGATGGATCCATATTTTCCGTAACAATTTTGATCGCCTCGAGGGCTCGCGATGTTTCGAAAGTGCCGATTGTTGTTGGAGAACGATCGACGCGCGCGACTTTGCTCTTCTTGCTGAGTATTTTGGCTCGCTTACCTCGCCGTGTGTTGCTTCACGTCTCTGCTCGATGAACGCGATGCGAAGTGCGCGTACATTAGTTACGAATCCCGCTGAGCGATTGAAACATTGCGCACGGTGGAACACGCCATGACGTCACCAAACATGGTGGAATCACACTTCGTACTTTCCAGCCGCACCCTCTGCACTCTCTTACACTCTCTTGTATTCATGGTCTTTCTTTATCTCTCTCTCCTTTGTACTGCAAGCAAAAAAAATTATCAGACGCTGTCGCAGTTAAGGCCATCACACACAAAATTCCGTAAGAACTTAAATCGTAAGCGTAAGGAAATCAACCAATTCCAATCGAGTATTCGGCTCTCCGTAATAATGGAGAGGTTACGAAGAGCCGAGTGCTCGATTGGGATTGGTCGATTTCTTTACGCTTACGTTTTAAGTTCTTACGGAATTTTGTGTGTGATGGCCTTTAAGATGTCCTATTGAAAGACGAACAGCTAATGCCGTTGCTGCCAAAACAAAATGTATTAGCTACTCAAATTCCGACGTTACGAAAATACTCGCTATAAAAAGTTACCGTTACTATCGCTTCGTGTTTTTTTTAAATAATGCTCTGCACCCGATCGAGAAAGTGACGTTTTGCGTTACAAATCCGAGCCAATGTATCATATTAGCTTTCAACGTAGATTAATAATCGATGTGTACTCGAACGCGCCGACGCGAAAGCCGACGTCTTTCGTACTTAAAGCCCTTGCACGTACAAAAATATTAACCGTAACCGTAAGGCCGTAAGAAAACTGACCAATCAGAGTTGATTATTCTCCTTGCGTTCAAGGAATAATCAACTGTGATTGATCAGTTTTCTTACGACCTTACGATTAAAATTTATCTACGTGCGAAGGCTCTTAAGATCAAATCACACTAACGATAGACGATAGATGATTGACGATTGAAGGTTGGAACTTGACCAATTGGAACGAAGCAAGCCAAGGCTGAAGCTTGTTAATTCGTTAAAATCTAATCTTTAATTGTCAATCGTCAATCGCCAATCGCTAGTGTAATTTGGCCTTTACATAGCTGCGCCACTTGATCATTATTCTATAGATGGACGACTCCACGTTCATCGGAAGCGCAATAATTACCCGTTTTCAATGAGCGTTGTTTCAAGTCGCTACGACGTCCATAAGTCGAGTTATTAACGATTGCGCGCTCAACATTTTTCAGCGCTAGCGCCGTAGCGAGCCATAAACAGGACAACGTAACACACGGAATGTGGAACGTGACTATCGTTTCCGGCAAGTCACCTTGCGCGCTGTAAGTGAAAGTACGCCGCGGCGGCTCGGCTCCCCACTCCGCAGCCCGGCTCGCACCCCCCTCTCTCCCCCCTCCGCGGCTCACAAAGAGATGCCACAACCTGCTAAATCGATTTAACGAGACATAGCACGTTCGCTAGCTACGATGTTAAGCATCAATATCCTAATTGGAGTTTGTGCCAATGGGCCTTTGTTTGTGAGAAATAACTGTATAAAGTTTGGATTGCGGGACTGTATCACGGATATGGCTAAAAATGGAACTGTCTTCCAGCAAGGTGGTGTGGCTGAGCAGATTGGGGCTCCAAGGTCGAGAATTTTTGAGCCGGAAGCGAGCGTTCAAAACCCGGCGACGAGTAGTTATCCTTGTAGAGTGTTTTTTTTTCTTTTTCTTACCTTAAGGCATGTAATTAATATTTTTCAAATATGATACATTTGTTTTGCATATGTCTCGTTTTTATGCTATTAATTAGGGGTAATTAGGGAAGTGTCAAGCTTGTTTAATGCAAACACTAATATAGACACATATTTTGCATTGCTTACAATAAAATATATATTTTAGTACACCACTTTCGTATGAAAACATTAATTACATGCCCTAAGGTAAGAAAAAAAACACCGCATAAGGATAACTTCGTTTCCAGGTTTTGAACGACTGCTTCCGGCTCAAAAATTACCGACGTGGAAGCCTTAGTCTACTCGGCCACGCCGCCTCTTTGAAAGCCAGTCATATTTTTAGCCATATCCATAATACAGTCCCATAACCAAAATTTATATTGTAATTTTTCACAAACAAAGACCCATTGGCACAAACCTCAATTAGGATGTTAATGCTTAACATCGCAGCTAGCGAACGTGCTATGTCTCGTTCAGAAATCGATTTAGCAGGTTGTGGCATCTCCTTGTCAAAAGCGCGACTCCACCCACTTGCTCGCCGCACGACGCACGGTCGTTCACCCCTCACTGCTTTTACAGCGAAAAATGCTTCTGGAACATTTCAACGATATTATTTGGTAAGATTAAAATGCTGCATTATATATATCTAAAACTTTTTGATATAATATTCTAAGAATGTTGCAGAATGGCTATACTTATATTTAACTAAATAATTAGACTACTTAATAGATTTAAATAAATTATATCCAACGTATTTCACCGAGTATAATAAGGAAATTTATACAATTTCTCATTCTCATACAGAATGTATCAAAAGTTACAAAAACACACTTAGAAAAAAGGTAGATATAA